ATGTATATAAATAGAAATATGTAAAGTGGATACACACACATATATACATACGTACATATACACTTATCCATACATATACATACATATGATATAGTATATCGAAAATTATATTTTGATACAATCAACTTACAACAAATGCGCCTCTAAATTTGTCAGGTGCCTTCGAATTACTCGTGCCTTACGGTTCTAGTGTGAGGAGGAGAAATCGAGAATCAAAAGCCGTCGCCACCAGTATCTTCTCGCTGATGAAGCGTATGTATTTATTGTATTGTATTTGTACGAAATTGTCCGGAAATAATGTACCAGTGTCCTCCTCACGCGCAATATCAGTATTTCAACTATTCCTTATTTATTATTCTATTATATCGCAATGACACGAAGAAACTTCGTGTGCGCCGCGTCATCTCTATGCCTTCCCGATTACATATTTTAAAAGTGTTGCTTCTTTCGTCGCACTCTTGCGTGCAATCGATGTAATTCGCACAGCCGAGGACTTCACGATTATTTGACGCTGTGTTGCTTATCGACATATTATCTTGCGTTTATTAGTACATACACGGTCAATATCGAGAAAGAAAAAAAAAAAAAAGAAAGCACACAGTTTCTTCGATATGTGGCAGCTCAGAATGACGTGACAGTCATAGAACAGTTTAACGACATTTTCATGTTGCAAACGATTACGATAATATTATTAATTCTATATTTTACGACACGCTCTTTTTCTCATTATTATCAACTTTTGTCTGAAATGACCACATCCGTCATTGTGATTTATCGAGAGGAAACGAATGGAAGAAAAACAGAGAGAAAGAAAGAGAGTGCGTGTGCGCGTATGTGTGCGTGCGTGTGTGTGCGTGTGCGTGCGGTGTGTGTGTATGTATGTGTGTACGTATGAGTATCCACAACAGAATATCAGAGAACGAGAGTGGAAATGTATGATCTTAGTGTCTGAGGAGTGCAAGAGAAAGGCATTGAGATACCAATCCTTTTTTTGTACGTTAAGAAACGCAAAAATTATTGTATTAAATATTGTATCATATACACACACACACATGCCTATAGATTGTATGAAACGTGTCAAATAACATAAAAATGCTCGTTTTGGCATTCGCAACATTTTGACACGCTTTATATAATATAGAATCTTTACCGAATTTGAGAGAAAATATAAGAGATTATTTTAAAACAAGTCCCCCTATTATTATTGCCCCTATGCTCATTACATTAATTTTTTTAAAGTTATTCACGTGCAATTCTCATTTGTTATCGGCTGCGAATCTACAAAGTATAATATTACAAAATATTGTCTAGCGTAAAGAAATGTGAATGGAATGCTATTATTTTGATACGATCATTAATTTGAAATAATCAAAATATAAATATATGTGAATAATGAAATACATTTGTTGGAAACCATCAAATTTTGCTTGAAAAAGGTAGATTAAATCGTTCGAAATTATTTTGTCGATATAAACGTAATGTTGAGGTCAACATTTAAAGTGTATTGCAAGTTTTTTGATTTCTTTTTAAATTCCGGTATAATGAGTTATTACATTTTATACTAAATTATTGGATGTCGTCAACGATGTGTGTTATCTATCATATCTATATACGACATTTGTTAATCTTTCCTAAGATTATGAGAGGCCATGTGTATTTTTTTTTTTATCTAGAAAGACATGATTTTATCGAATAACTCGAAGAAAGAGTATTTCGAAGAAAAAGTATTGCATTAGCACATTTGATGCAACAGCTCTTTCTTTTACTGATATGATTCACAAAGTCTCTCACGCGATTTTACAGACCTTACAAACATTTATCTTCCTGCCGCGAGTAGTTCAGTAGTTACACGTGACGCAGTATGGGAGAGAAAAGTTCCATTCTCTCATTACATTGATTCAAGATTCAATATTTCCGCTTGGGTCATGAAACAACGAACAATGAAAGATCGAAAAATTTCGAATAATATTACGAATTAAATTGTTCCTATCGTCGCTTTGACCTTTCACATTCGAAAATATTTTTATCGTAATATTGATAATCAATTACGTCAATTTCTATCTCGTAATATCAAGGCCATCTGTGAATCTATTCAGTTAAATTAATTTTGTCTTACAAACGTTCCCAATCTAATACAATATATATCATGATTTCTGACTAAGAGTGAATTGTTTTTGTGATAAAGGAAGGATCATAATATTTATAAGTTTTCGTTATTAAAAAATTACGTATATTTCAGAGAATTCTACGTTTCTACGTAGCGATATCGCAAGTGCTCTTGGTAGGAAAGGAACGGGTAGAGGAAATCAGTTCTTAAGAAACAGCAAGTTGGAACTGTGCACTCCTCTCGCAATTAATGATTTACGTAATTTCGCGCACGACCTGCGCGAGGAGCAACTTGCGAGTCGTAGACTGCGTTCCTGAGGAGGAACGCGCTCGCTCGTCTCGATATCTCCCCCTTCCCCCTCCCCCCCTCCCCCCCGCCCCGCGGCACTCCTCTCACCGTGCAGATTAGAGTGCGCGATGGTGATAAGCGCGAGCCAAGTCGTGGAGGCTCACGCACATCGGCACGGTCTTCGTGCGCCGATATCCCGCGCCGATGCACCGATTGCATTGTTTCCGTTATCGCGTCCGATTGGATTGGCAGCTCGTGCAACCGCAGCCTCGCCGCGGTTAGGCTCCCCAGGCATGCATCCAGGGCGGTCAATTTCGCGTAATACGGCAGCACACGCACGCACACGTGCATATCGCACGTGCGTGAAGAACGCTCTCGCGCAGCATGTTCGCGGCTTCGTTTCTCGCGATTTCCGCATAAATTCTTCTTGTAAAATTTTCTCGCGATTTTTCAATTTTGCAAATAATCTCAATATCTTTTCTTTCTTTCCTTTCCAGAGATTAAAATATGCACGCATGTATAATTTGTAGCTGTCTCATACGTAAGAGTTCAAATCTCTCGTAAGCAACGATATAGAATGCATACCGCACCGTAAATTCCTGCTATGCAAATGCATGATTTACTACCGATGTTTATCGTTGCGAGTCCGGTAACAGGGAATAAAACGCTCACTATTAAAAGGAAAGGAAAATATGGACTCTGAATGACACACACATTTCCATACCCGCCGACTCTCTGCAGCTAATGGTAATAATGATTAACCAGTAAATGTCATTTAGCCAATAAGAAAGTAATAAAACGTTAATGAAACGTTAATAATTTATTTCTTAATTATTCGAGAAGAGAGTATGAAACATTAACGAATGTATTTTCTAATTACTAGTTGTGCCGCGAATTTTTATTTGTAGTTTATTATAAAATGATACGATAACAAATCTGAACACTTTTTATTATTAATGACTATTTTAATGAAAAAACACCTTGATATTTGTTTTATGATAAAACTTCCATGAGGTTAGCGAATATAATAAACAATTTCTCGCTTTGTGTCGCAATGTAAATGACTTGGTGCGAATGCACCTGAGCGGATTGAGCAATCGTTATCGCGCGCAGCAGCGAAAAGAATGGAAGCCGAAGCTCAGTTTCACAGGTCGCTACTTTAACGTCAGTAGGACAATTGATCTCTCACAATTGGGTATAATATCTCGTTTTCATCATATAATAAAGCAGAGAGCTCATAATCTTTTGTAAAAGTTTTCACGACATTTTCATAAATGTCGTAATTTTAAAAGTAACAAATTAATTTCTTTAATTTATAAATATACGGAGAAATGCGTATTGTTGTGATATAAAACATGAGAGTTATAAGTTATAAAATTTTACGATAGTATTTCTGAGTAAACAGAAAGAACAAATATTTCCATAAGCATAAGGCACGTGCTCAGGCACGAAAAATAATGGAAAAATAACAGAATAATACATGGAAAATAATAGATGTTTTGAACAGTTCTTGTAAACAAAAAAAAAATACCTATCTAAAAATTTTAAAAACATTATTTGATACTACAAATAATACTGCATTTGTATCCTTTATTTCAACAACGAAGCATTTACGATTTAATGTTTATATGAATATTTCTTCTTTCTTATTAAGGAACACGCTCACGAAATTTTAAACCACACTTACGACTCACTTATATTAATATTTTATATCATATTAATACATATCAAGTTAGTGATGTGTAATTCCATTTAGAGAAAAATTCAGAATACGTTTTCTTGGAAGATCCACCAAAGTCTTGCAGTTATAATCGCGATAATAATCACATTTTTATTACAGTCACCGCATACGCGCTAAACGGACCTTGAATCAAAGAATGACTGTTGCAACGCGCCAATCAACGCCAATAAATGTCACCGGCTGGTGCAACGTAATTAGGAAGGGTGCAGTGGCACGATAAAAAAAAAATGACTCCGTTGGAATGTAACATTCTGAACGTATAATATTATGAAGATCAAATCGCGACGATGCCGATCTCCGCTTTCCCTCGCCACTTAACGGTTTCTTCGTACCTAAGCTGCTCGACTTCTAAGCGGTTTAAGTCCAAATCCTCCAATCGCTAGTATTATACATGTCTTGAAAAGCATTAAGAATACAATAACGAGCCGAGTAGCATTTAGATACTTCACCGTGCTCCCGGAATACCTCTCAGTCCGTTCTCCAACCGGAAATACAAAAGCTGAAAAGATTCTGGCGTTGCTCCAACGTCGTCCGAACCGATGTGGCTCTACGATTCTGTTTGCGGAACAGGCAAACGGTGCAGTGGGCAGACAAAAGTTTCAGCACATCTCGTACGGATCGTTGATTTTCGTAGGCTAAGAACTGTGATTTGAGGTAGAAAACCGGCAAAGGGAAGTGTGTCACAAAATGAGAAATCCGTATATCCCCACAGAGTCAGTATAGCGATCTTGAAATAACACAACGCGATATTTGTCAAATACTATTATTATTCGTGAATCTTTTAGTAATCACGATACCTCACGGCTATGGTTTCTATGTCCCATATAAAGTGTTCCTTCTCTCTTTCCGATTATAGATTAAAGATATAACTTAAACGATGCATTAGAGCTCCTTTTAGCTCCACTTCAACAGATATGCTCTCCACTTTATTGATATATATGATATCGGTTTTTTTGAGACTTGAAACTGACGTCATCGCGATTAGACTGAACTATGATTGAGGGTCAAGATACATAGCGAAAAAACAAATCACAAAAAAGTCGATATGCAGAGATGAGGATATATGTATATAAATCGAGAAAAATATGAAGAGATAAGAATAATCTTCAAACGTGACATCGAAACGAGTATCACGTTTGAACAGTAATTCGGTCTAAAAAGCCTTCAGGCGCATAACACTCGACCGGGAGAGATGCTCAATTTCGCGATGGTGGCTAATTATAAAGCGCACTCGTATTCCAAAAGCCTGTCTCCATGATACACGTGTTCTTGATGTCGCGCGGTAAGAAGAAAAAGGAAAGGAAGTCTCACAGAGTCGTTCGCAATTCCCGCAACGGCGAGAAAATTACCGTTTGCGAAAGACCCTATGCATATATTTTTATCTTGACAAAACCTCTCTACCTTCTTTTTCTCTTCAATTCCTTTCTCTGTTGAGTGTTTTGTTCTCATTGCTCTTACCGTGATATTAAACACCGAATTTACCTCTGTCGACTTATATATTTTTTCCTCGATTAAAATTATTTATGTTTAAAAATATCGTAGCAGATAAATGTCAAATTCAAAGAACTGCTGCTAACCGGATTTATATTTACAGGTATAAAGGAGGCGATGTAAACGTCGTACAGAAAGTACATGTTGAATATGCGAACAAAATTATACGAGATATATAAATGACTGCGTGTTATGAATCTCCAGAAGTGATCATTGTCTTGAGTAAGGAAGAGATTCATAAAAGATATCAAGATACTGCGGTGATTATATTTAAGGTAAAAACAAAATCGAATAAATTTAAATAAAATAAGTTTCTAATCGAATTTTTTTTTTAATTGCAGGAGCAACAAAGTAGAAAGGAAGAAATTGTGAGTTACCTTAGTTTTGGGAACAGTCGTAGAACAATGGAATATAGTAACAACGGAAATCATCCCGTTATTATACGCAAACCTGCAGAGTCTACAATTATGCAGAATACTCATTTTTCCTCGCGGACGTCGATAGAATATCACAAACTAGATGAAAGATGCGCGATAACTTAAAGTTAAAAAAAAAACGAGCAGAAAATTTTATAACTATTTGTTCAATAAACATAGTTTTCATTAACATTACGGTGGCGATTTAATATATCGGTAAATATATTTTTTTCCCTTTACATTACAGCCCTTGTTGGGCGATAAATTGATTTTATTACAGATGGAATTTTTATGGGAAGAAATTTTTATAAAATAAATATACCATAAAGTAATAAATTATGTTAAAACAGAATAATCACAGAAAAATGATTTCATCATTGAGAATGAAATTATCTGTTTCCCTAAATATTATGACGTGACTACAATTAAATGTAGAAAGTTATCTGGATAACTTAAATGTTCCGACATCCACTGAAGCGGCGTCTCTAACGGTGGTATAATACCATGAGTACGCACTGTAACTGTAAAATAAAATCATGTAAGTATCAATTTTATTAAACAAATGAAAACATGTACATAATACTTACAAGAGATATATTGCAACTGTTTGGAATTAATCTGATTCTTCTTAAAATATTTGATAAAACAAAAATTTAAGAGATATTTTTTTAAATAGATAGTTGTGATATATCCCTTGTTAAAGAAACTTGTGTAACAGTACCATTTTCCTGATCCGGAAACACTTCGTTTAACAAATGCTTCAAAGTCTTTCTTTGGCCTTCTTCATTCATTGGCTTTACGAGTCTTTGTATATATTTATCTTCACTTGTATAACAACGGAAAGGTATATATTTAAATCCCTCTTCAGTACTGGCTTCCATAAGCCTACCATTTACAGACCAGAATTGATCAAATTTATCATTCATAATGCCATTCCATAGTTGGGTATGGTCCTTTTTTTGCATACTAGAAACGATTTGACCTCTATGTTTCAAAACATCAGCTTCTTTTATACAAGACAGAAAATGTGCTTCTACAACTTCTCTAAAATTATATTACAACGTTACAGTTATATTATTTAACTATCAAATAAACAAACAAATCGCCACACCATGCTAATATTACATACAAATTTTTTCTGTAAGCAAAATGTTAGCACAATAATTGGCAGCAGATTATATAAACTCGACAGATTGGCAGCAGATTATAAAAAACTTTGATTATAGAAAGCCTGGTAAATTTTACATGCGACAAACGGACAGTACTTAGCAACAGTCTTGAAAATATTTAGTAACAGTGCTGATCCTTAATTTCTTCTGCCAATCTGCCATCAGGTTATACCAGCAAGTTTTGTTTAGTTGTTGCTGCAGTCTGGCTATCTGAATTATTACGTACTTGTTTTGACAGTGCATTAGAACATTCTCTGGAAACTTATCAAAATGGACGACAATGTTCCAAGGTAATTGAATGTCATTGAAATAAATGTCTAGTAGAACACCAATTGGATAGTGCCATTTTAATGGCATTCCATTAAATTCTAGCCACATCTCATGCTCTTGTTTACTGTCACTTTGTATATGACGTATGAAATGTTTTCGAACCTAAAACAATATTCAATATTTAATATTCAAGATAAAATTATTCAATCAATTATTCATATATTCATAAAGCTATATGCGAATGAATAATAAAATTCTAATATAATAAAATGTGCTGCAAACTTCTTACCTTTTCTGTACATAGTGGAAAATAACTTAATCTAGGTACCATCAAATAAAATGGATCTGGCCCTTGCAAATCGCAAATTTCTTCAGAGTTGAGAGTAAAACAGACTGGGATCTTTCCATCCCAGATTTCCCGAAGTACCTCCCGATCATTTGCCATTGGTTAAAAATATTGCACTCAATCTAACACATTTGTAATCAAAATACTTGACAACAGTCAGAAAGTTATTATTAGGTTATGTTTTTGTCATAAAACATAACATTGAAGAGAATATTCAACGGCTGATGGAAGAAACTCAGATGTGCGCTTGCGCATATATTTCTAACAGTCAATAACAAGACACCATATACCGCCATATTGCCGCGTTTATTTGAATTATGGGTTCTACCACCGACCAGATACTATTAAAGACCGACATCCTTACGGAAGTTAGCGTCCTTGTGAATTTTGAAGTGAATTAAGAATTAAAAACTGAAAATATTGTACTAATTTTATGATTTATTAGTTTAGTGGACGTATTTATGCATTTAAAACTCAATAATATTCAATTTTTCTTTAAAATTGTGATTTTAGTGCTATCATCCAAGTTTGATTATCAACAGAAATGATAACTGCAGAGAAAAAAATTGTAATTTTTTTGCAATATATAGAATGTTATAGCTTTATAAGTATGTATATTTATTTATGGAATATTTATGTAATAAAAAAATTGAAAATTTGATAATGTATGAACCAAATATTTAGGTTAATAATAGCAAATTCATATCAATTGTCGATAATGTCAGCGCTCTTCAATTACCTCTGGGCCCTTGGAACCCTTTTTATACCGCCGAAAATTTGTTCAGGGTTGACAGTCTTTAATAGTATCTCGTTGGTGGTTGTATACACTGGACTGGAAATGCAGAAATGCTTACCGCGTAACAAAATGCGATACGGTGATCAATGAACATATTAGGAGCTGTAAGCTTATTGGCTACTCACATTTTGCAGCGCTATAAACGATTTCACGTCCAATGTGCAGGATATTTAGGCGTCATAAGAAAAATTAATTTTTCACAAATTTTTTCCCACTGCTTTCTCTTTTGAGAAGCGATAAAGTTTCTTATTGACTGTTAGAAATATATGCGCAAGAACACATTTGAGTTTCTTCTATCAACCGTTGAATATAATATGTTTTATATTTGCATATCTATATTTGTGTTACTTTTAAATGTCAACAATATAATTAAAATTAATATTTTAAAGATATTAACAAATAAATTTCTTTACATTACCTGTCAAGTTACGTGAAATTCCTGAAACATGACGGACCAATCAACGCGCAACTTTCTCATATCGTGACTTTTATTAGAGGATCTCTACTAGACACGAATGAAGTTGCCATCTAGTGACAAATATAGTAAATATATATAAAATTTTCTTGGCTTCTCTTTTGATAAACTTTTCTTTTCTGGTATAATGAATAAAAAATAAAGATTGTAAACTTATTTTTAAATATATAAGTGTTTCAAGTGATATAAAAAAATCTGAAAAATATTATAAAAAGTTATAAAATTACTTAGAAATTCTTAGAACAATTTTTATCAGATATTACATTCACATTTTTTGATTATACTACATATAATGTATTTGTTGTCGATAATATAAGAAGCTCATCTACTGCTTTAGATATCTGCTAAAGATATTTTAAAAGCTTCATTGCAATATTTACAGAATTGTAATTTATAATTTTATTATTTTTAATGAACATATACTTATATTTTTAATGATAATATACCTACATTTTTTCTATCATTTGATTGATTTCAGGAAACTTCAGACTTATCGATAATAAAATCGATAATAAAATGTTGATAATTACCAACAACACGTTTTAGAAATAATTATATATATTTTAGAGAGAGAGATATTCAAGTTAAATAGAAAGATAATAATGGCATTATGATATTAAAAGTTATGATTTTTATGTTTTTTCTTTAATATTAATGTTTTGTTTTTTTTTAATTTGTTATAATATTTTAAATTAATATACTCAATATCATTTTATTCTTAAGATTTTTTGCAAACATTTTTTATTAGCTTCAAATATAAGGTTTTAACTTTATAAAATTTACAAATATTTTTATAACATTTTTGTATTATATGTTAATTACGTTACAAGCAGGTGTAAATAATTTATCATGAAGGGAAGAGAATGAACAACACATAAATAATCTTTTTTTTATTTAATTCACATCGTTAAACATGTTTTGCTAGCAGAGAGAAATGCACCTCAGACAACACGTGTCATAAAAGACATATCGGGAAAAAATGTTACATATATGAATATGTTTTATATATAATTATATATATAATCTTATATAATTATATATAATTATGTATGTAACATTTTTTCCAGGATTTCAAAGACTTTCTAAAAAAACTTCTAAATATTATTTTTTATAAGATATTTTTGGAGCATATATAAATATTTACGGATTGTAACGTTTGCCAATTAAAATGTACATATGACATATAGTCAATCTAATATAACTTATAAAGATATCAATTAAAATTTGACGTTCCAATGTATGTAGTGTTCTCTAGGTACTTTACTCCATATTACTTTATTTATCAATTGACTCGCCACACATACATATACATACATATAAATTTCTATATACATATGATACATATGTTTTGTTAACATAAAGTACTGAAATATGATTATTGTTAAGCGTCTTACATTATAAAAACTATATCTCTTGAAATTTAATTCTAATAGATAAATTACCGGGCAAGAGCCAATTATTTCGCATTTCCGTGTGTTTCAAAAATATTTACAGCTTTATAATAAGTCCCCAGTTTAACTTTCATTGTTGATTCAGTTATCTCCGGTTTTAATGACCAATTTGAAAGCGGGAACGTCACTCTCCAAGTGATTGATTAAATTAATTATAAGGTTGTTGAGTTGCACTTACAAATCCAATTATATCTGTAATGAATAGTTCGATTAGCGCAACTATTTCTACACAACTACGGATTGAGCAAATTTTTGTCCAATCTTGAATTATTTCTATCTCGTCATTTTTCTCATATTATTAGGTTTTAAAATATATTTGGTTTCTCAATGCAATCGAAAGTTTTCATTCAAATGATACATTAATTATTCTTTGTCGTTCAATAAATCATTATATTGATTGACTGCGTCTAAAATTCATGACGTTTTCATTTAATTCATATTTTGTCAATTGATGAAAATAAAATTTATTTGACAGAATATGAGATTTTTGGTATGTTGACAGCTAATTGTTCGTTATTTGTTGATCGTCAAGTCCAGTGGCAAATCTTGCTCCATCTCAGTGACGTTCTCGTTTTTTACTCTGAGGTCTTGGCCGCATGTGTTATTGGTATCCACTATATTGCTCCACATGTTTTCTAGCCCATATGGCAAATCTACTGAACCCAATAGATGTCGAAAGAGCGGATTTTGTGTCTTAAGAATTAGATCTGAGAGGATTTTCGTCTGCAAGATGCTGTCATTGCTGTGGACGCAACACTTGTGCCGGCAGCAACAGTCGACGTTAGTATCTTTTAATTCCTCTTTAAGTGGCGTCTGTTCCATCTCCATCTTCAGATCCTCCGCGCGCTTGATTACCGAATGCCTCACTGGATCGCAATTGACCGTGTTCTCCTTCTTGCAAGGTGTACTGTTGACGATCGACTCGATGTTCCTATAATCTACCGTAGTGGTCTTGGTAACATTGTATTCCATGGGTTCCTCAGTTTTAATGGGCGTCGACTGCATCCCAATACGCGGCAATGAATCGGACACTCGACCCGGACTCGTATGAGGCGACGACGAAGCTACAGAGCAATCCTTGATGATAGTGCTACCAGCAGAGTACATGGGATTCACTTGAATCCTGTCCGGTATGATGTAACTTTCATCGTACATCCTGGGATAGATCTTTATATCCTGCTCGTACGGCTTTGGTGGGGTGACTTGCTCCTGATCTTTTCGTTGTTCCTGGAGGTTATACATGTTATTCCACTCGACAAAGTTCCTCTGTTCCTCAAAGCTGTTGCTAGTCTTCGGACTGCAACCCGACATGCTACTCTCGATACTCGAATCTTTCTTATCTGACTCGGAATGCGCACTGCTACTCTGCTTGTCAGGCGAATTAGCATCGAATCTTTTCTCCTGAATGTTGCTATCATCAAAGCTCTTCTCCTGCACCTTGTCATTGTTGTTCACATAGTGGCGGTAGGTCTTGACGTGCTTTCTTAAAGACGATGGATCGGTGTACCTCTTCGGACAACCCGGAACCTTGCAATAATACGGCTTATCTACGGAATGAGTTCTAGTATGCTTGAATCTATCTGAGGAATTCGAGTAAGCTTTGTTGCAACCCTCGACAGGACAGACGTAAGGACGTTCGCCAGTATGAGAACGTGCGTGAATTTTCAGGTTCTCTGCTCTGCTGAAACTCTTGTCGCACTGGAAGCAATGATGCGGCTTCTCATTCGTGTGTGTCCGTACGTGGACCAGCATCTTGTATCTGCACGAGAGAAGCACAGGGTTCATCAAGAATGCAAAAAGTGATTGCTGTCTTACGCATAATATTACACCCGGAAAAATTTTACCTCGCGTTAAACCCACGCTCGCCTCTTGCGCATCCTTCCCATCCACAGTAAAACAGACCCCGCGGACCAGGCGCCGCGTGCAATCTCCCAACATGTCCTGCAAGTTGTTCCAGGGACGTGAACCATCGGCCACAATCTTGCCATCTGTAAAAGAAGAATATTACAATTTAATAATACTTTTAACAGGGAGAATGTTTAACAGGAAGAAATAACTCAATAAATTCTATCCAATTTTTTAATTAGTTGTCATTTTGCACAAATCGGAACTAATCGTTTATGATATGTAAATATAGCCGTTTGACGCTTCTCTGAAGTATCGAAATATAATTTGCGTCACAAACGTGAACGTTTGTTGGCTTGTCCAATTGATATCAATTGCATCCATTTTACAATTGCCGCCGTTTGACACTAATTTATTGCAAGAGACAGACTAAAGTTCGGTACTATACTATGAACGACAACGAATTCTTTCAATTAAGAGACACGGATATGTCCATAGGAGGTCGCGGATCAAGGTAATTCTGAACGATTTAATTGGCCGAACACTCGGCTCTTGTTTCTTCAATTATTTCACTCACAAGTAGCAGGAATTATACAAATTACAATGTAGCTTCGAAATATATAACATTAAAGATATTCTAAATTAAC